CCGACTCATAGATCTTGATACAGTTCGATATTAATTTAAAAAAAGAAGTAATCTGGCTTTCTCCAAAGTAAACATTCACGCAAACAAGTCACACATCTAAACAACAGAGGTAATCTAGAATTTCCAGCGCCCACACAGGTAAGTAAATTAAAAGAAAATTGCAATTGCTTAGTTGATTGAATTAGATATTGAAGCCAACTTTGATAGTTAATTCCTAGCTTTTTGTAAGGAACAGAGTTCTCTTTATATGCAATGAGAGCCATGAGAACAAATCAGAATTTCTACCTCTTGTGGATGCTTTTGAGCTGTGATAACCTGCTTGCTAATCATTTCAGGGTGATTTCTACAGGTATATCCTATTACTTAAGCTTTTCAAGGAGACATCTTCTATATTCAAGCGGAATTATTTTATCGAATGGACTTTACACAAACATATACTAATAAGACTCTTCGGCTTGTTTATATATATAGTTCTTTTGGCTTCGGATCACAAGAAAATGTCTTCTTTGAGTTCTAGGTTTGTATTATATATGTGTGTTAATGTTGTTTTAACATGTATATAACTATACCTTTATATCAATATAACTACTGCTACATGCACTAAGTTGACTAATCAAGGTCATAACTAAATGTTGCTAAATGGACGTAAAAATATAATGTTCATATTCCAATAGTTTTTCTAATAAACACTCCAGTAAATAAAGTAAATTTAATGTTTGGATTTATGTTAATAATTTACATGTACTATACTGATTTGATTTCCCATGGAACTTTAGTCTTGATATTTTTTGGCAATTATGCATCCAAAATCCGATTGCAATAATGATACTGTTCACCTTAAAATGATTCTTGTTATTATTTTCTTATTATTTTCCCATGTATGATTCCTTAATTTAAACAAAATGAAATGTAATCTATATCTGGATATGATTCCACGTCGTCTGCTGTTATTAAGAAAAAGATTTGTAAAGATGTGATCATTGGAAAACAACGAAAGTTTTACTGCTTATATCTATCTACAGACCAAACCTAGGGAGGAAAGGGAGGCCTGATTGAAGAAACAAAAACAAATACTATAAAAGTTTATCAGACATTGGGGATATTTGCTTGGATATTAATATGATTAATATGACTGATTATACTCCTACAATTTTTAGGTAGAATAATTCTATCGTTTATTCCCAAATTTATTCCCGTATAAACTTTAATCTATTGTGGATCGACAGAATTATTTCATTATAAGATTGAATTAATCCCATGCATACACTGCATAGGCATGATTGCATATGAGGTGCACTATTTGTTCTCTGTTCCTACTGCAAACATTTTAATTCAAAATTAAATATATTGATTACTCTGTTGTGTCAACATCCTGAGAGCTAATGATATAATTTAATTTCTAGATCTGTACGAAGTCTTCCAAGGTCATAGGTCATTACGTGGGCTAATCACATGACGCAAAAAAATCTGTGGAATACAAAATGAAAACTACTCTGAATTCATATGTGCCTTTCAAGCTTTTCATGAAAATAAAACACAAAACACCAATAAAAAAAATAAATAAATAAAATGATAATAATAATGATAAAAATAAATAAATAGATAAATAAAAATAAAATAAAATAAATTATTTAATCAAATTTGATTTTTTACATGCGTGTTTTTCAACGTTTGACTAAAATTAAACAACTCCATTTCTTAAATTGTGAAGTTTTTTGTTTTAATGTCAGTTGATTCGAATATTAGCAATTTCAAAAGTTTATATTTTTATCACCCTAAATGGTATTTGGTATTTTTGCTTCAATGAACTTTCCTCACATAAAAAAATCCGCTTGAAAATATCAATACCTACGATACCACAAACAACTGAGTACATGAGTGCTGGGCTTTTCAACGAGAACGACGTTGGCTTGACAACGTAAACATTCGTGTGTCTATGTTAAGATCTTTCAGACTAAATGAAAACAAATAAATATCAAAATGTTTTTAAGTGAAGGAAATCTATGCTAAATTTCTAACCATGAGTTTTTTAAGTGACTTTGCTTGTTTTTTTCTTCCATCGACTACCTGCTTTAAATCGCAGGAAAAAAACAGCATTCTACTAATCAGCATTAAGGACATACACAACGTAGTTTTGAATTTAAATTTCTTATTCCCTGTATAATTCAAAGATACCAGTAAATGTTCTACCAAGCCTCTTTCTTTACTCCTAACTAAAATATTAACAGTTGTGAAGGACAAACTTCAGGAGTACTGTGCAACAACATATTCGAGAAGTGGTGTAAATCAGATGTGGATACTTAAAAATTTGGAATATTTGAAATCACAAAATTTTACAAAAATCAACAACATATATACAAAGTACGACTTTCCAACTTTATATACAACCATTCCCCACGATAAATTATAGTTCAGGCTTTTTGATATCACTGACAGCTGCTTATTCAATAAAAATGGAACTCGTAAATTTACTTATCTTGTCATTGGCCATTTGCAAAATTATTTTGTTAAAAACATTCTGATTGTACACACAAGTACTCTGAAGTTGATATTAAGAAGATACTCGAGTTTCTGATTGACAATTTCTATGTGGTTTTTGGAGACCAGGTCTTCCAACAATCTATTGGAATTCCCATGGGTACCAATTGCGCCCCGTTATTAGCAGACCTATTTTTGTATTCATATGAAGCAGAATTCGTTCAAAATCTTATACGTGAAAAGAAGAAAACACTTGCTGTGGCCTTCAACTCGACATTTAGATATATCGACGACGTATTGTCAACGAACAATGGTTATTTCCATTCTTATGTCGATACGATATATCCCGGTGAGCTTAAAATAAAAGATACCACAGAGTCCGACAGATCTGTTTCATATTTGGATATTTTACTAGAAAAAAAAGGTTAATGGTAATCTAACAACCAAGCTTTATGATAAACGTGATGACTTTAACTTTTCGATCGTCAACTTCCTTTACTTATGCAGCAATATACCTTCATCACCTGCATACGGGGTTTATATATCTCTCAGTTGATTCGACATGCAAGAGCATGTTCTACGTATGAACAATTTTTCTAAAACGAGGTAAGTTATTGACAAACAAGTTGATGGAACAAGAATATCAGCAGTCTCAATTAAAGTCGTCATTTCGTAAGTTCTATGGTCGATACAATGACCTTGTCAGTAAATACACTTTATCATTAAGTCAAATACTGACTGACGTTTTTCATACTAATTGATAGGCCATTATTTACACTAAATTGTCGACGGATTTTTCTTTTATTTCCCGATCATGACAAGGAGTACACGGCGGGTGTGACGGGTCAGCAGGGGATGTTCACTCCTCCATTGCACCTGATCCCACCTCTGATGTTTTAGAGGTCCGCGTTTGCTCTGCTCCAAAATTTGTACTGTTTAATGGACTTTTGAGCTTGAATACTGTTCGTTATCTCCATATATTTCATTAAGAGTTCCAATAATTGAGGGACCTTTGTGCAATTTTATAATGTCTGGTAATGTGTACACCTCCTCTAAATCAAATTTATAGGAAATAAAATTATATATTTTTAAAATTTTTTCTTAAAAAAAAAAGAAACACCAGGATTTTCATCATTTGATATCTATTTGACACTCCTGGTAATGAATGAATTTTTTTTTGTCCAAGTACATCTGGCGGTACTATGATTTTAAATCAAGAATATCTTGGAAAATTATCAGAGGGAAAAATACATTATAAAATTCATGTACGGTGCGTATGTTCTTACATGTAATACAAAACAGCCTTCCACGTAGTATTCTCTCCACATCAGCACCATTTTATCAACCCGTGACACTTCCCGTATCAGAGTGCTATTGCTTTCCAAGCCTACTCCATGCGCTGCAACTTCGTCATCTAAGAAGACAATTTATACGATTGTCCGTCTCTAATATATAACCGAGAAATAAATATACAAGATCTTTCATTATCAATTCCTAAAACTATGTTTGACCTGTTGTGGTCCGATCCTAAATGACGAGACATTTAATTCTGCATATTGAAAAATTCGCAATATTGAATAGTTTCAAACTCAATTAAGTCCAGGGTCCCGTTTCACACAAAAGAACTTTAGACTAAGACCAAAAACTTTCGTTGATTGTAAAATCTTGCAAAATTAACGATTCGGTTAAAAATTTACTAGCATAGAGATATCTAGTTTCTTTTTAAAAAGATTAAAACCACTTTAAAATTAATGTAAGATAGAAAGTTATTATTGGGTATGTGTGATGCTAAAGTGAAATTCTACGTATGCATATATACTATGAAAAATTCCAATGAAAATCTTCTGCAAAATAAGACCATATCATTGAGTCATATTGATATCGATTGAAACATATACAAAATATTGAATAAATTTAGACTCAGATAGGTCCTGGCCTCCTGGGGCTGAAGTTGGGCCACGATATGGGTTCAAATTTTTGTTAAAATATATAGAAAAACATTTCTTTGAAAATATTCTCCTGAAAGTTGCAGAATCATTTAAGGTGTCTACGGTGAGTGTTATAGTTCATAGGCCTTTTTTCGAGATATACTATTTTTCCCATGTATTTAGAAAAAGAAGAATAAGACTTAATTCTAATTACAAGTTGGTCAATATAGTATAGAACTTTAAAATGAATTGCATTTTAATACCACAGTTTGACTACAGATTCTCTGAAAGGAATGCTTAGATTTTAATTCTTATTGTAGTTTATATATATAATCAACTGTTGAGGATAATTGTCTCGTGTTTGTGAACAAATCTCAGAAACTTAAAATTAGAAGTCTTTCCAATATCTACTATTTATGTAAAGTGGAAGACCCTTTTTCATACGTATACAATGTACATGTAATAGATAATGCATGTAAAGGCAATCTCCTTCAATACCACGAAATAGGTCCGAATCGCCCGCCATACATAGTTTCCCCATTTGTTAGCACAGTGCGAAGTGCATGTTAACTTCTGCAGATTCTTTTAAAAAGTTTAAATTAACTGATTTCGTGCGTGTTGGGTTGTCTGCATGAAAGACAAGGAAATATTTGAATGAGTTCTTAAAGTGCTGAATTTCTGGTGGACGATTAATTGTAAGTACTTATAGTTCTTGTAAGGCTTTTAAGTGTCCTATTCATTGAAATAAAACAAAAAGAGAGGTAATACCGTGACCTATATATTGATAGTTTGTTTTTGTACGACGTAACAGATCTGCTCTTGTTATATTTTTACACAAATAAAAAGTGCACAAAAATTAAATTTTTCTTTGTATTGTTTTCCCCCTTCAATTGTCGTAATTAAGTCATTAATAATCGGGATTTCTTTAATAGATTCTCTCTCTCTCTCTCTCTCTCTCTTTGTAGTTCCGATGTGTCATATACATGTATATACTTAAATTGTAACACTTGCATACGTGTGTTAGCATTTTATATTACAGCGGTTACATTTGACAAATATTGTACAACCGTTTTAACATCGTGTTATTATGTATCTAACTAATACAGGTGACCTTCTTAATTCAAGATGTCATTGTCTTGGTTGAAAAGAGGTCTTACATCTATTGTTAAAATGAAAAATTAAACTACATAGTTTTTGAGCCATTGACCTAAATTCTGTGTTGTGGGAAATTCATGAAAAGTCATTCTATTAAGCACAGATTCGGAGAAAAATTACATGCGATTCCGAAAAGTATAATTAATGTTTATCTGCTTTCATTTTCGCAGATTTGATTAAGAGTATTCAATGCACCCTGTAATATGATCGGGAGAAAAGTGTCCTGACCTGGCCTTTAAATAAAAATGCCTACAAAATACCGGGGATGTCTGCCCCGCCATTCAAGTACTTGTACTGAGATTGCATCATAGTAGACGAACATACATTAATTACACAATTAAATAATCAAGCACCATATTTTAACTAATTGAATGATACTTCGTTCAATAAATTATTTCATTTATAATGCAAAAAAAAAAAAAAAAAAAAAAAAAAAAAAAAAAAAAAAAAAAAAGGTCAGTACAGTGCATTTCGACTTGATATTAAAACTTTGTTCCATTTTCATTATGAAATCCAACATTACAGCAAGTTCGGCTAAAATTAAGTTAAAGAAAATATATTATGTAAGTTATAAAAGACTAAAAATTAGAGCAATATTTACTAATAAGGGACTTTCCTTGGTCTCTATTGTTGTCTTCATATGATTCAATTTATTGTAAATAAGCGATGAAGTACAGGATATTTTGACAGAAATGAAGCCATTTAACGACAAACAGACGTAACAATCGCCAGAATTTACATTTCTTGGTAATAATTTGATATTGATTTGGACAATATTGACCTCGTTACGATAAATTCCTCATTCATCACCATGATTACATATAATGAGAACAATTGCAGCTGTTGGCTAACATTTTTACCTCCTTATCTTGAAGAGTTCCTTATTCTTTTATATTTATGTTTCTCTTCAATGAGTTAACTTTTAAAATAAAACTTGTTTTAAATTAGACAATATAAAGTATGTAATTATTTCTTCATTCGAGTGTAAGCTAAAAAAAATGTTTAACTAAATACAACTTAGAAAAAGAAAAGAAATTAATTTGACATTTCAGGTAATTAGTATATTGTATTTGTTAATTTTAGTGCATTTAGTGAGAAATACAATGTACAGTTTAAACAATATTGGTTCCGACTTTCACTAAGCGATTGACAATTTTAGTATAGCATCATAGGAAGAAGATTCAGTAAATGTAATAATTGTCTTGTACCTATGCTCGAGTTTCGGTCACGGATAAAAATTGGTATATTTTTTTTCAAACGAAAACTTAAAAAAGGATCATTGGTATAAAAAAAAAGAACGGTATTCGGGTTTATCTTATATGATCGAATAATTTGACATGTTAAACGCTAAAATTAGCTTACTGTAACATGTTGTAAGACACGGCAACAAAGCTTGTAAATTTGTGGTAAAAATATAAAATGTACTCACACCATTCATTACAATTGTATTTAAATCGGCTGAGGAAGACATTATTTGACTTCAAACATATAGGTTAAGCAGATGAAATGAATTGCCATGACTGGAGTTGACCTTGACATTTGAAAAAATTATCATTATGACATGTGTCTCTGATGTATATGATCCATTCCAATTTTTCTCTGCAAGTTAAAACTAAATAACAGAGAGATATATTCAGTTGACTTAAACCTTGCCTTTGACCTTGAAATTTGTAAATGGTACATGTAGGCATAAACTTATCGTAACTATCGTCTTCAAATTTCATAAATAATTAGGTTTATATGAATTCAATATTTTGAACACTTATTCGCGTAAATTGACTTTAAACTCTAAAATGATTTGCTGGGACCGCCTTTCTCACTTGCTTATAATTAATGATCACATTAAGACCTATTACGACAATCGAGAATTCTTTCAGTCGATTTGTAAATCAGTACTTCTGATCCTACTATTCCTCTTTTAACGATTTGTTCAGTACTTCCGGTCTTGGACTTCTTCTTTTAACGATTTATTCAGTACTTCCGGTCTTGGACTTCTTCTTTTAACGATTTATTGTTCATTTGGAATTAACCTCTGTAACACAAAAACAAACTATCCTTCATATCATTTATAAGCGTTATGCTTGTATTTTTTCTTACTCTTCAATTTCAAGTTAAAATCATTGTACCTCCTCATATCTTCTTACTTTAACAGCTGTTTCTATTTACCATAACAATCATACTTGCCAATAGTTTTTATGACTTTTTTTTCGGGTTTTCTCCTGCAGTATTTTAGGATATCGAACGTTTGGCAATTTTTGTTATCGTAAGCACAGATTTGGCGTGTAATGATGTAACTATCATTTATAGATTAAGTTCCCCAGTGTGAGAGTTTTCGGCATACATAAGTTTAATCTGACGCACTTATCATTTCAGAGACCTCGACGTTTTTCTACCATCCCCTGCACCGTGCATTCCTCAAGATAGCGCTCCTGTTTCTTGATATTGGATCCGCCCCTGATACGGACAGTGGCAAGGGAGTCTGTGGGCAAGCCCGTGTCTCTGACTTAAAAAATACAAATGATCGTAAACTTGTATGCTCTGAACCTAGAAAAAAAAAATTCTGGAAATATCATTTGACTGATAGGATTCTGGATTCGAGTTTCATCACTGATTCTGTTTTAATAAATCGTGATAGTTATTCCTTTTTAGATAATCTCTAAACCCAAGAATAATACCTTTTAAAGACGCACCCTCCACTCCAATATATAAAGTTAAAACGTCAGGCCGCAGTAACTTGGGCAGTTAAGAAAGTCCCGGCATTTAATTAGATTTTGTTCTACTACTGGGAACAACTTCACCAGGAGACGTGTGGTGCTGTTATTGAGAAAGAGAGGGTAAAGGAGGGAAAAAGCTGTCATATAAAATAGAACCGTATGTTTAGCAGCCTTGCTTGCGAGAAACCACAATAAGTTACTTATAATAACAGAGACAGTTATGTAACTTTTTTTTTTCACAAGAAGGAACTATATCTACAACGTTTTAGCTTATTGGATTCTTGCATTTTACCAATAAGAAGAAATCTGCGCAGTAATATTTTGGTTCTCAGTGACAATTACTTACGCTGGAGCTACTTTTCGGAACAATATGGAAATGGGAATTTCAAGTTTTATGATTTATTGATATCATCTGAGGTAAAATGTTTTTCCTCATGTGAGAGGCTGTATCTTATCCTTGCGACGATTTTAAAAATCACCAACCCAAAATTCGCATTTTTGTGAGCTAAATAAACATGTTCAAGCAGGGAAGCCGAGATAAGATATATATTACGACGATTGATATATTTTTGACTCTGTTTATTTTCTGCAGCGAAATGAAGTTTAATACTCAGTAAAGAGGTCGAAAAATTGTAGCAGACGCAACATACATTTATTACGGCATCTTCAAAAAAGAAAAAAAAAAGATCCCTTGTATCTGACATAAGATCGAAATCTAAAAGCAGACCTTGATTTGTTTTCAAATTCTAAAACTTCGCAACAAATACTGAAGAGCGGTTTTCATGAATGAAAGGAATTATGTGAATTCACCTTGACATAACAGCGCAGTGGAAGAGGAAGGCACGATAGACTTTGCTTGATTTAAGGATAATCTGAAAGTTTGCTATCCAAACCGTGAAAATGTCAGGAAATTTAACAGATGGATGGACAAACATATCGCCAAATTTCAATGTACACGTGTTTTGTAACGAGACCGAGGCTCCTGATAACTTTTCTACTCCCTTCACGGTGTTTATCATAGTGTGGCTCGTGTGCATTCTATTGGCGGATCTAATTGGCAATACATTGGTCATCATCGTCATCATTAAAAACCCGGTCATGCGCGATCCGTCCCAGACGACAAACTACTTCCTGTTAAATTTGGCTATTGCTGACCTTCTAGTGGTCTTAGTAATTCCCTTCTCAATTCATTCAGTTTACGTGGAATGCTGGGATATGCCGCTCTTTTTGTGCAAAGTAAACTCGTTCTTGGTTACACTCTCACTATTAACTTCTATACATACCCTCATGTATATCAGTATACACAAATTTATCAGCGTTCGACGAGTGGCTGTCAACAATGACTTTAACACCCCCGTAACACGGCGAACTTGTTTTATTATGATTGGTGCAGCCTGGATTTATGCCATTATTTTTAGTATCGTCACCCTCATTTCTGACCCCATATTCAAAGAGAAAACTTTACAGTGCGGGCCCAAATATCCAATATTTGGACAACTGAGTTTTTATTTACATATTGCTAACCAAACCGGAAACCTTTTCATTCCATTGGCTATCTTGCTATTCTGTTATATTCGGATATTCTTATTCATCAGACATCATGCCAATATCCAGCGCCGTATGTCCTTGACACCATCTGATTCAAGTACAACTCAAGGTGAAAAAGGTGTGACCTTGACCTTGGTGATCGTCCTTGCGTGTTTTTTGTTGTGCTGGTTACCATATACTGTGTATACCAATTATGCAGCCATCGTGGAGGATAAGGAAAACGACATTCCCTTCTATCTCAACCCTCTGGTAAGTTCTTCATTAATTTTATCCCTTCTATCTCACCCCTATGGTAGTTCTTCATATTATCCCTTCTATCTCAACCCTCTGGTAAGTTCTTCATTAATTTTATCCCTTCTATCTCACCCCTATGGTAGTTCTTCATATTATCCCTTCTATCTCAACCCTCTGGTAAGTTCTTCATGTTATCCCTTCTATCTCAACCCTCTGGTAAGTTCTTCATGTTATCCCTTCTATCTCAACCCTCTGGTAAGTTCTTCATGTTATCCCTTCTATCTCAACCCTCTGGTAAGTTCTTCATGTTATCCCTTCTATCTCACCCCTATGGTAGTTCTTCATGTTATCCCTTCTATCTCAACCCTCTGGTAAGTTCTTCATGTTATCCCTTCTATCTCAACCCTCTGGTAAGTTCTTCATGTTATCCCTTCTATCTCAACCCTCTGGTAAGTTCTTCATGTTATCCCTTCTATCTCACCCCTATGGTAGTTCTTTATGTTATCCCTTCTATCTCAACCCTCTGGTAAGTTCTTCATGTTATCCCTTCTATCTCAACCCTCTGGTGAGTTCTTCATGTTACATGCATTAATTAGGCCAACTTTAAAATAATGTTTGTTTTCCCTCTCCCGACTCAGGATGAAAAAAATGAGTCGGTAGGTAGGAGAAATATTCTTTTTTCTCATAAAATATCAATATCAATGCTGAATTTTCAAAATTTATTTTCTGGAATGCATTAAAAAAAAATATTTCCTGGAGGTTGAAAGATTTTTGAGTGGGGCAATTTTTAGCCAGTCGTCGGGAGAGGGCAACCAAACAAATTTTTAAAGATGTCCTTAGCGGGATGATTTTTTAAAAAATATGTTTTAAAAAAATTCATTGACTTATTTATCCAGAAAAACACTGTATTTGTTGTGATTTACGGAATATAACAATTGCCACCACAAAGAAGAAAAAAATACTAAACCCGCATTAGCGGTAATATTTATCTGCAAAGAGTGCAACTGATACATACCTTGCATAACACAAGAAAAGAATACATTTTATTGATTACATGTATATCTTCAGTTGAATATTTTTTTTTTAATATTCAGGAAGAGTGAGTAAAAAACGTTGAATAACAATATTTTCCAAATCAATAATATTAAAACGCAAGACTATTTAACGCTTTATAAACCGATCATAAGGATAAGTACCAAACCTCAAGACTTTACCATTATAGACAATATTTCTTCAATAAAAAAGGAAATCGTAATTTTCATATCGTGTAATTGGTCATCTACAAAATTACTTTTTTAAAAGCGGATTATCCTGATATTGTACACAAAAATACTCTGAAGTTGATATTAAAAATATTAAGAAGTTCCTCATTCATAATATTAGCGTAGTACTGTAAGACCGGGTCTTCCAAGAATCTGTTGGAAATTCTATAGGCACTAATTATTCCCTTATTAGCTGACTTGTTTTTATATGTCCATGAAACAGAGAAACCTCTACGTGTGAAAAAAGAAGAGAAAACTCTTACTGTGGCTTTCATTTCAATATTTCCGTTATATTAACGACATTGTATTAATGAGCAGTATTTATTCTAAATCATTTAGTCTGATTCTGATTAATATGTACTGGTCCCAGCTGACAAAGCAAGTAACAGTATTGTCTTTGTTTGTAAATGTTTTACCAAGCCTCTTTTTTTTAACTCCTCACTAAAATATTAACAGCAGTGAAGGAGAAACTTCGGGAGTACTTTACTACAATATATTCGTGTAAATCAGATGTGGATACTTGAAAACTCCAAGGAACCTTTAGAAAATTTGAAATCACAAAATGTTACCAAAATCAATTACATCAAAACGTACGACTTTTCAACGCTTTATACAACCATACCCCACGATAAATTAAAGTCCAGGCTTCTCGATATCATAGCTGCTTTTCCAATAAAAACTCGTTAATTTACTTATCTTGTCCCTGGTCATTTGCAAAAATATTTTGTTGAAAAACATTCTGATTGTACACACAAGTACTCCAAAGTTGACATTAAACAGATGTTTGAGTTTCTGATTGACAATATTTATGTAGTTTTTGGAAATCGTCTTTCAACAATACTGTCGGAATTCCCAGGGGTACTTATTGCGCCCCGTTATTAGCCTATCTTTGGATTCTTATGAAGCATAATTTATTCAAAAACGTCTACATGAAGAGAAGAAGCCTCTTACTGTGGCCTTCTTTTAAATATTTAGATATATCCACAAAGTTTTGTCAATTATCAACTTCATTTTCAGTCCTAAGATTACTCGATGTATTCCTATCAACTCGAAATAAAAGATACCACAGAGTCGGACACATTTGTTTCATAATTGGATGTTTTACTAGAAAAAGACGTTAATGGTGCATGTAACAAAACGTTATGATAAACGTGATTTTAACTTTTTTATCGTTAACTTTCCTTATTTTTGTAGCAATATTCCATTATCACCAGTATATTGAAGTTTCTTTCTCCCAGTTGAGTCGATACACAAGAGCTTGCAAACAATTTCTAAAACGAGACAAGCTATTGATAAATGAGTTGATGAAACAAGAATATCAATATTCTCGTTAAATGTCAAAATTTTGCAACGTCTATGGTCGATACAATTACCTTGTTAGGAAATAAAATCTTTCATTAAGGCGAATGTTGCCTGACGATTCATACAAATTGTAAGGCCATTTTTTTCACTGAATTGTCTACGGATTTTTCCGTTTGTCAAATCAGGAAATTATGGAGCACACGGGGGTTTTGACCGGTCGACAGGGGCTGCTTACTTCTCCATGGCACTTGATCCCACCTCTAGTGTTCTTTAGAGATCCCTGTTTGCTCTGCTCCAATTTGTGTCGTTTTAATGAACTTTTGACCTTGTTTCTGTTCTTTATCTTCATATTTCATATGTTAACTTGATATATCCCAGTAAACTCTAATTGAAGAAACAACGGAATCTGTCCACATCAGTGTCATACTTGGATGTTTTCCTAACTATAGACGATAAAAACCAACTTACTACAAATACGTATACGACAAACTAAATGACTTCAGCTATTCATATTTCACTGTCACTTGCATATATTGTTAATGTCTCTCAACTTATTCAGTACACAAGTTCATACTCTACGAAAGCCTAACTTTTAAACCGAGGCAGCTACTGAAATGTTAAATGTCACATTTCTCAAATTCCGTGGTTGTTTAATGACCTTATTTGCAATTACAACCTATCCTTGATTCGTATCATGATTTACTTGATTCCAACCAATTGTTAGGCCATTGTTCTTTTTTAAATACCAACCTGATTACGGATTACGGTTTACCTGATCAAAAAAGGGGCTCACGGCTGTATAACTGGTAGACAGGGGATGTTTACTTCTCCTTTTTCACCTGATCCCACAAGTGATTTCCATAGATCTGCTGTTTTTGCCCTTTTTCACGATTCGTTTTTTTCTTTATTTATTTACATTGTTTTTCCCGTTTATCCGCGTTACAAAGATGGAAGAGCCATGAAACAATTGACCTTCCACATTTCTGGAATTACAGATGGCTTTAAAAAGGCCGGATGTAGTTAACTTCTGTAAAAGTTACTAGGTTTTTCTTATTTTGACAACAGTATTATAATTATCGTGAAAATTAAAGGAGAGAATATTCTTTGGTATGCCTACGTATATATGCCTTCTATAGATAAATATTTAACAATTAATTACAGTCATATAACAACATGTTGAACTCACTGGTAATTGTTTATTCTCTGAACTTAATCTATAAAATATTATTGCAACAACATTTCTACAAACTTTCAAAGGGTTAAATAAATTTATTGTTCATCAACAATCATCTGCATGGAGAAGGTTTACTAATATTCGACTTGAGGACATTGAGAATTTCAAATGTTAAGTTGGTTAGTGTTCATGTTTCTGTTCTGTAAGGTTGTGTTTATTGTATGGCAGAAAAAATAATACAGTCAATGATCAGTTAGTTTCTTGGTTCCGATTTCTCGATGAATATTATTCACAATCTCATGTTGACTAAAATGCAAACAATAATGAGCCCATGCATACACAACTATTTTTGTCATTCTCTTTCCGCCTGCAGTTAGCATTTCGAGATCCGTATATTCAAGGAAAACAGTAGGAGAAACGAATGTATTCGAAGCATGACGATTTAACGCCCTTAATTAGGTCCGAAAACTCATACTTACTTGAAAGTTTAACTACATAGGAAGAGCCCTGACACTTAGAACTACACAATACAGTTTACTTCAATTACATAGTCTAAAACAAGATGTGTTTGTGAAACACTATGCCCCCGATGGTAACACAGTTCTGGAGTGGGACGTAGACTATAGTGCAATAGTTATGGCCAATGTTAAAGTTTTTCAAATGTAGGTCAAAGGTCACAGTTGAGGTCACATGATCAAAAACTTTTGTACCAATGGAAAGGTCTTGTCATAATAAACACTCGTGTCAAATATTAAAGCTTTACCCTTGACAGCGCAATAGTTAAGGGCTAGGTTAAAGTTGACAACAGACAGACAGACAAACAGCTAAACAAACAGACAGACAGGACAAAAACAATATACCTCCGGGATCTTTCGATCCGAGGGCATAATAAAATAGCGATGTGAAAACAATTATTTAAAATAAGACCATTTCTGTATCTCAGTTTTTAGAAAATATAAAAAAAGCGAGATTAAAAATAGTCAGGCATAAAGCGAATCTACCGACTTCACAATGTGGTGTAATTAAGATGTGCATCTGCTCGACATATATTAATTTATAACGCATCATCTTCGAACCTCACACATATCTAGATATCAGAGTTTTTCACCAATGCCAGTTGAGTTTTTGGAATCCCGATCCTGATAATATCTAGGAGACTTGCAGACAGCACACCCATAAGATATTCCATTACATTTATTTATTCATTCATTCCTAGATATTAATCACGCATTTCTTAATGCAGGTTACTGCAATGTTTAAGAAACATGATGTTATCAGTGAACAGCACAGCCACGACTGAATTCGAATCAGGCACAAAACATGAAATGGTCATCAGTACCCCCCTCCCCCCGCTTATTAAGTATGTGTCTTTTGATCTCCTTTGGTCTGTCTGTCTCGATCCGCCCCTTGTGTATGTCTTTCGTGATCCGCCCCTTTTGTGTGTATGTATGTAATCACAAAGTTTAATTCCGCTGTTTAGACCACTGTCTGGTCTATCTGGGGTATCCACATCAACGTTATATATACAAGCATCGTGCATCTGTGGAATTATAGATGCATACTTTGATTGTGTCCACGGGGGCATGAAATTTCAGAATAAGGAAACAATTCAGGTAGGCTAGATTGAAAATTGACGATTTGTTCGACCTAAACTTCTTTCAGTATGGTTTGAGAGTTAAGGCATACTTTTTATATCGTTTCTGTCTACAGAAGGCATCTTATTGAAATTGTTTTTATCTATAACCTTCAGACATTTTCTTGAAGTTGTTCTTGTATATAGGTTTTAGGATACTCGTTTAATGGCATCAGAACCTAAAAAAATATGTTATAGAATTTTAGAAAAACAGGTTGTGCACGTTTTATTTTTGCTAAAACACATTTATCTTGAAATTGTTTTAACAAGCCAGCCTAATTTCTTCATTTCTCAGAAAGCAAGATTTGTATGACATGTACTAACAGGCACTCTGATTTGTAGGCGTATTGTTTCGGCTTTATGAATAGCGCCTGTAACCCTGTGATCTATGCGTGGCGGATCCCCAAATTTCGACAAGGCTACAAGGATATCTTCAGCAAGACAAAGTATATCGTTACTATCGGTATGTATTTACATGAAAGTCTTTTCTAGTATAATACTTATAAACTTTGTATGCTCACACAATCAACATGAAGCCCTTTGCTGATATGACTTTGAGCTGATTGTTTTTATTTGTTCAAAGACTGGTTGTTTAAGGCAAACAGAATTAACTTCTGAACTACTTTGATACGCCATTTGAATTTTGAATATGGGCAAATTACTTTTACCCTACATTGGTATTGTTACACTTAGTATCCTTTTCTTAATCTACATGTTTGCTTGCTGAATCGTCTGTTCATGTTTCAATATACTTTAAATGTCCCATTTATTTTGAATATGGAAATAAGATTTCCTTACACTATGGTTCTTTGACGTAAAACCCATGCATTATGATTAGTCTTCTCATGTTGATTGCCCGGATGTTTTTAGTTGACGGTGGCCGCAGAGTCAAACGCGCAGTCTCTGTCAGCGTAATTGAAAGCGAGGCTGGTCGACGGATGTCCACCCAAAGAACATCCATAAGTGACATCCGAATTCCCTCTAGCTGTCGAACATCTCTAACTGAGTTTGGTAAAAGTAGACCAGTATTGGTCAGTCAGCTCTGGGTCAGTTACGATGAAATATAATTACATTCATTATAGAAATATACAGTATGAATGAATTACTCCTAAGAAACTTAACTTGTCAATAGGTAGGTTATCAGGTATACTGAATACCTTATTTATAGTTGCTTAACGTTTCAAAGTTCCAGTTATAATTAAGAAAAGAAAATTCATGTAACCTGTAAAATCCATGGTTTTCATTGAGAAAACCATTCCAGTACTTCCTGAAAAGTACTAAATGCAAAACTATTTAATTTTTAAATCCCAAGACAATGAATATTAAAAGAAGCTACCTATAAAGTAAAATCCTTTCCAATTAAAGAGGCAGTTTATCTGTTTTTTATATGCATGTACTAGGTACATAAATGGTTAAACGAAAAGGCAGAATTGATTATAGAACATGAACATATCAACAATTGTCGGGATACAGATTGCATAAAACCCATAGAACACGTTAGTACTGACATTTCAATATATATGTACTCATTTACATTTAAAATTGATTTAAAAATGAAATGAAAGCTTTTAGGCAAACACTATGTTCTGATGAGGAATATATTCCCACTATATGTATGATATATAACCAGTTATTATTACTATCATAACATCGCAACCTTCCAGTTTGCCCCCTTCAAAAAAAGTTCAAAATATCTCTCTGTGCCTTATGAAATACCAAGTAAAATATTTGAGCATAAGAGGAGCCCTAATATTTCATCTTAACTTCTCAGAGAGCTGACTCGATCCAGGTTAATCTATAATGTTGAGTTTTTGCTTTAGAGATTTTAGTTCCCACCGATTTTATTTGTTTGCATTCCGTTCATATTAATCTGAGTTTGTTTGACACATCTTATTGCACCTTAATGAAGTTCGGAAACGTGCGAATCTTTTGATTTTTTCACATGTATCAATTTGGAGTTTATTCCTGGTAGTTTTAGTCTTTTTAGTGTTGTTAAATATAGCATGCATGTGTGAGTGAATATTCATTACCCATCATTTACCTTTAAAGTTCTTTTCATAAGGGGGTTGCAGTATATTCTTAAACAGCTACTACTGTAACATTTCTTTGAATTGAACCTCCATCAGAATTTTTACCCTCTTAATTTTTTTCCTCTTTATCTTCGATCCATTTTTTCTCATCGCTAATCCATTTTGAATTATTATAAATATAATTTTGAGAATTTTTGTTGTTATTATATTTTATCGGGGACACGCTGAAAAAATAACTTTTAAATGAATTGAAGCCCTGGAACTGAGTAAAGTATGCATTCCTCGATGAATACTACCAACTTAAAACATTCAATTACAGCCCAATTTTACATGCCCCTGATTTCTTTTTAGATTGGTTATGATTATTCAGTGCTTATACTATTAAGAGACTCTTAGGCATTTACGCTCACCTAAATAAACTTCTGCTACTTCGACGATTTTGTTTCCTTTTCATGTTTTGGCTGCAAGGGGATTTAACTATCATATTTGAATCCACACTACATGGGGACAGTTTACTCTCAACCTACCTAATCAGGGTCCGTAATTAAACAAAAAAGCTTGAAAATGTTTAAACTTTAAATTTCTATTTTAGCCACACCCTAGCCCCGAGGCGATGATTCAAACAAATTTGAATCTGTGCCACTTAAAAAAGCTTGCATATTGATATGACATCATGGCCAAGTTGTTCATGTAGAGAAGTTGTTTCCCCATAATTACATTAAAACATTACAAGATTTTTTCCCGTATGGTCCTATGGAAAACTTTGACCCCCTCTTGTTAATTCACCATAACTCGGAGGCTATGATTTGAAAGGTTTTGTATCTGCACTACCTTATGGTGCATAAGAATATATTTGATAAAGACGACTGTTCTTGAGAAGAGGATTATTAAAGATTTTTTCCTAAATACACTGTATTCAGTGGTTCTAGAAAGAAGCTTAAAATTTGAAAAAAGATTACAGAATGACGGAAAGACAGAAAGACAGACGCTGGATGAGTGATAAGAAAAGCTCATTTGAGATTACAAAGCTCGGATGAGCGAAAAAAAAAAGATTTATGATAGTAAAACTCTTTGCTGTCATTGATTTGATTTTTTTATGAGGGAATGGAATGCGTCGAGTATCATTTCAGAAGGAAGTTTTTTGAGGAAAAGTATGTTCAACGAATAGTATATTGAAATAGAGACATTTGTCTTTGTTTTTGGTAAAGTGTAAAAAATAATTGACACTCTAGGAGTTGGATTGTTTCCAGAAATCCTATGTTATGTAGCTTATAGTTGTCTTCTACATAATAAAAAGCTGAAAAAAAGAAAATAAACGATTATGTGAGAGTGGTATGATTTATAGAATTAGACCATAATTATGTTCCCCAAACGAAGTTTGGGAACATATTGTTTTTACTCTGTTTCTTCTTCTTCTTCTTATTATTCTTTTTTTCTACTTTCTTCTCCGGTACTTTTTTGTCCGGGAGTGTTATAGAACCACTCATCCGATTGACATGAAACCTTTTTAGGGTTAATAGGCATGTTGTGTAGGTGTTCGGAACGAAGGTCATTTTGCGCGCACGTGCATGCACGTGCGCACGCGTGCAATGAGTGAAATGACTGATATACTTGATGAAGCCGAAACTTTTATATTTCTTGATGAATTGCTTTGAAACTCAAAATATAAAGATATATTAGTAATCTAGACAAGATAACATGATCAAATTGGCGTGAACTCATGCACATGCACGTGCGCTCTTCTCTAATTGGCTGATGCAAAAATCTCAATAATTTCCTTGTTTTTTGACAAAATACTTTGAAATTTAGAATATAAGTATATATTATAAGGTGCTACAACATATTATATAGGAAATTTCTTGAAAACACGCGCATGCAGGTGTGCTGCAATCTGATTGGTTGAAACTTTAAATGTCTATAACTCTCTTGGTTTTCAACAAAACAGGATGAAATTTACGACATGGATAGGCACATAGAGCTCCTACATTTTGATACTATCAAAACTGAATGCAAGGCCATGCATGCGCGTATGCTGAATTCTGATTGGTTAATACTTAAAGGGTTGCATCTGTCATATTTTTCAATGAAATTCTTTTATATTTAACACAAATGTATGTATTGTGAGACACTATAAGAAAATTAATGTGAAAAATGTAGAAAACATGTGCAAGCACATGCGCTGAAATTTGATTGGTTAATACCCATATGGCTATATCAGAGTAGTATTATAATGAAATACCCTTAAAAATAAAGTGTCCATCTATATTACAAAAGTATTGTCTAATTTATTGAAGCTTGTAGGGAACTGGGCATCATAAGAGATTGGGGAGCCGTTTGGGGAACATCTGTAACGGTTCCCGTTACAATTAGCACTAGTTAACTTTCATTTTTAAAGAATTGCTAGTAAATTATAATAGTAACTCTTTTTTACTAAGTAGTATGAACTGCTTAAGGATTTCAAAATGAATGAAAAGTTTAACTACTAAGTCTTCGTTCCATGATAAAGGCGGCCTCCCCTTGCAACGTTTAATTAACACTAAGCGGGAGGTTGTTTTCGTTTAAAACTAATAGTCATAAAATGTAATTATTACATATAACATAGGGTCAACACATTCTGTCATTAAATAACGAAGATAAATACCAATATTAAGGTTAATTGATGAATCTACATCAATCGTTTTTAGATTTGAATAGAATGAAATAAAATAATGTTTATTTCATAGATAAGTTCCTTTGGGATTTGAAAGATGAAATGTACACGTAAGAACAAAACATTTGTCTTGTTCATCAGTGACCTTGAATTAAATCTTTAACAACGAACCATGAAACTAACACACAGCATCTGAATTACGTGATTGATATCTATGATTAAGTTAAATTGTAGTGTATTTTTTCTTTATAATTCTTATATCTTAAAGCCCAATGAAAAAAACTCAGCGTGAGAAAATCACTTAATTTTTATTTTTTCACTACTTTTTTTTTTAAATAAACTAAATCATATTTAACTGTAAACATTTTTTTTGAAAAGCGTAAGACACACAAAGTCAGTCCCCTCTTTAATTCGTAATCCATGATCCAGTGCTTCAGATGTTAAATCATATAAATATAAATAGGTTTGTTCCTGTCATGGTTCCGCGTTGGGTCCTCGGTGTATGTACACGGTTAACTGACGGCTCTCCAGTGTGATTTGGTGCTTCATGGTAAATCCGTCTCTTCCATGCGTGGAGGGGATTCCAGAATTTCGGGCGCGAACAACTGACCATCAATATACAGAGTGTCTCTGACTAGCTTTACGCGTCTGTGCTTTTTCCTGGCCTGGCAGACTACTTGGTACAGCTTTCTGCGTCGCTTTTTAACTTCGGGGTGGGAGAGGGGGGATACTGTTCATTAACCCATACGAGGGTCCCCTTCAGCTTAAATATTTCTAATGAACAAGGCTAAATAACTGATACTGAGAAAAATAATATTCTCATTGAAATATGAAATTTGAAAAAAAATTGTTTTATAAATTTCAGAATTTGAAACATGCTGTGATTAAAGCTGAGTCGTACTAATGAGATGAAATATATTAATTTATGACTACTCTAGCCAAAAAAAAAAAAAAAAAAAAAAAAAAAAAAAAAAAAAAAAAAGCTGTAGTAAACTACAGTTTACTATAGTATCAAGGTTTTCACTAAAGTATATGAAGGTTTTTACCATACATGTAATAAATCAAAATTATTTTTCTATGAATTAATATATTTTATTTTCTCCAAGTCTTACATGCCATGTTTTACTTTTAAAAGGAAATATCACACAATTCACAAATTATTTCTTTAATTTTAGTCATTGGTTTGTAGTTAAACAATAAAAAGGCCCTTAAACCAAAAAAGTTCTACAGTAAAGTTAAATATTTTATTATTTAAATCTATCTTTCATAGAAAATTTAATTTAGATTCAATAATTGTAGGCTCTTGTGATAGAGCCTTTAACTTGAATTTTTTTAATTCCTATTATCTTTTATGATAGCATACCGGTATCCTTTTTAGTCCCCTACCGGTGAAACCGGAGGGTACTACAGGTTTCCTCTGAGTCTGTCCGTCCGTCTGTCTGTCTGTCCGTCTGTCCCTCTGTCTGTCTGTCTGTCAGTCTGTCCAACTTGGTTTTCCGCACTTTTTTCCTAAACGCTTGCAGATATTGAGCTGATTTTTGGTATGTGAGTGTATCTTGATGAGTTACAGATCAAGTTTGCATTTCGTTCCGCTTCATTGATTTTTGACGGAATTACGGCCTTTTCAATTTTTAAGGATTTTCTGCAATTTTCTTCTAAACGCTTTCAGATATTGAGCTGATTTTTGGTATATGACTTTACCTTGATTAGTTATAGATCAAGTTTGCATTTCGTCCCGTTTCATTCATTTTTGACGAAATTTTGGCATTTTCAATTCTTAACGGGAACCAGATTACACTTGCCGGTAGGGGACTAGTATTGATAATGCAATACTCTCAGAATGCTTGTTGAATTAAAATGTGTTCTTAATTTGAAAAGAAACACAAAACAAAAATAAACAAATAAATGAAACATTATAATGAAATGAAACATCTGTAGTTAAAATGCCTTAGAGCTTCATAAATATATTGTCAAACATTTGATACTACAATGGTAAATATTGTTTTGTTGAAAACTTATAGTTAGGAGTATATCCTTTCGACCCTTAGAGTCTGTTTTTTGTATTAAGAGTATTTTCTTACAAGAATATTTGTCGAAAATATATTTTTAGAAAGTCAAGTCATTGCTTATAATATTTATACTCACAATTCACTTTTTTAACTTAAAAACGCTGCATCCAATGACATTCAATGAAATTTACCCACGGTTTCCTTCGTGAATGCTAGAGTTTGAGCTTTTGCAAATTTACATCATAGAAGCCTGTCACCATGCCCCTAATCAAAAGCAAAACTATGAAATTGTATAACATGTTATTCTAGAAAACAGGGAAAATTGAATTCCTGAAACCTTTCCTTGGACTTTCGAGATTGAATACTGGTCGTTATCTTCATATTTCATTCCATGTCCGACTCCCGAATTTATGCCCTGTAACATATGCGATTCAATTCTGCGGGCAGGAATTCCCGTTTCTAACTTTTATATTTTTTCTGAGGCGATAAGGTTTTGCAAATCAACACCACTTTTTTAACGATAGACAACTGATTTGTTACACGTTCTCATGTTTAAGATGAATGTTGTTTGTTGTTAATGAATGCACGTGCTCATGTCTGCTTATCGCGTTAGCATGTACAACATAGATAATTTATCTATATTTTCCCCCTTCTATGAATAAATTATTATCTAGCACTTGGTATTGCATTATATATGTAGGGAACCAGTTGAAGATTTAATTTAATAAGGTTGAAGAATACCAATGTTTTACTGTTTTTTCGCTGTGTTCGACTTCCCTTATATTTTTACGTCACAAATCTTTTTTTAACTGCTACTGTCTTATCCTCTAAGAATTTTTTACCGCCTCACGTATTGCTCACTATATCAGAGGCGGAACCAGATCTTCTATTAGGAAGAAAGAATTAAAAAATAATGGGAATTTGTTTAGGGATGGGATGGGTGATGTTCTTAACATTTTATTTAATAACAAAATAGGTCTTACTCTTGATGACAATATTTTTCTGATTAATAACATATAAATGATTCGAATATTTTACTGAAACCAACATCTGACTTGCATGAGTTGGTTTTTATTCGGATCCATGTGGTGTCCTCGTACCCAAACTCAATGGGTGTGGCCACTTTTCCTTTTGCTGTGAAAAGAAACATCAAACTTTTTTTTAATTATTTTTATTACATCATCAATCTTTTTTTTCATACTTTTATTACATCATCAATTTTTTTTTTATTTTCATAATATTTTTATAGAATGGATTCTTAGAATTGAAAATATGGGATGTAGCATAGGAATTTTTTTTTTAATCGTGTGCGTTTAAGCCTTTTAATTTTTTTTAACGTATACTCTGAGGTCAAACATGACATAACGTGACATAAATGATATGTTAATGTCTGGGGAAACACAAACATTGAAACAATACACTGCTTGTTCATATAGAAGAACTATTTTTTTTTTACGTTATTTTTTTTTTTTAATAAACTTGTAGGATTTTCGAAGTTTTTCAAAAAGGTCTTAAATCATACAGTTTCAAACACCTATTTACGTCAAGGGTAACTATTGCACTACAAGAAACAGATACTGAAAAAAGATGGAAACTTCTCGATTAAACTAGTGTGAATGATGTAAACATGAGGAAAAGAAGCAGGTGGAATAAAGTTCTCTTTCAATTTTTAAGAGAAAGACGTTCAAACAACAGTAATGCTTCAAACACACGTCCTCGTTACCAGACTAGGGGTGTAGGTGTGTGGAGCTTTATCAGTTAAAATATCAGTGTATGATGTAGACTGACAAGTGAAGAATTACGAAAAACATGACCTGTCCTGAAAATAATTTGTTACACAACAATAAGGAGCAACTATTCGTAATTTGCAAGTTCTATGGTCGATACAATGACCTATCTATCATTAGGTCGAATGCTAACTGACGTTTTTCATACTTATTGTGAGACCATTACTTAAACTCTGAGTTGTCTACGGATTTCTCAGTTTTCCCGTTCATGACAAGGAGGTCTATGGTCGATACAATGACCTTGTCAGCAAATACAAATACAATCTATCAATTAGTCGAATGCCAACTGACTTTTCTCATTTTTATTGTTATGCCATTATTAAATACCTGAGTTGTCTACGGATTTTCCCGTTTTCCCGATCATGACAATTGGACCGGTCGTTAAGAGATGCTTACTACATGTACCTCATGGCACCTGATCCCACATCTGATTTTTTTTTTTAGAGCTCCGTGTTTGCTTTCCTCCAAATTTGTATTGTTTCAATGGAATTTTGAGCCTGAGTACTGTTCGTTATCTCCATATTTCATATAATGGTTGTACTGACTATAGGATCCAACTCTTTACTGAAGGAACGATGTCTTTTTTTTTAATGCAGCAGGATCTTTGAATGATTAAAAAAATCTATCATAAACCAACACAGCATAAGTGTTTTACCATTTTGAATGTAAATAATGATCTGTTAAAATATCTATTTTATATGATAACAAATTAATCACTAGCTAACTGGAAAACACTTGATTCTAATTTAATCAGGAGCATGTTTAGGGGAGGTACCCCGCCCTTTTGATAATTATGATTTACGATTTAAAATAAGTTTCCAAATTAAATTACTATTATTAAGGTGAAGATAACGAACAGTGGTCGATCTAAAAAAAAAAAATCTATAAACAATACAAATCTGTGAAGAGGGAAAAAAAAAAAAAAAACAAAAAAACACGGGCCCATGGGAATTGTATCTAATTTATTTTTTCCCAAATTTGTAAGTACGTAGTCTATTCTCTTTTATTCAATTTTGTCTTGAAATTTTTAAATTACTTACCTTTCTTAAAAATTTAAAGGGTCCGTTAAATATCGGAAGCTTTATCCTCTAGAAAAAGTATTCAAGCAATTGTACATATCATTCCGAACCAAATCTTCATGTTAGTGAAATAACTGCTATGTCGTTAGCAAAGGGAGTTTATTTTTACATGTAGTTATTAGGTTTGTTAAATTGCGTAACTGACATATTCTTGTGGACATCTAGTAACAAACCTAATTATTTGGTTTGTTTTACTTATATCCAAAAGAAATGATGCGTTTCGTATGTATTCATTTCTTCGCCCGCCTGTGCAAATTTTTTACTTGTAGTTAATTTTTTGCCCTACATAGAAAGGGAATAGCATTAAAACGTCAGTGAATGCAAAGCAAAAGTATATACTTTGCATTTTTGATCAAATTTGGGCATTTATTAAGAGATCATTTAAAACAAAGGTATACTTTCTTGTGATAACTACTTATTTATGAATAATGACAGATGAATTAAGTTCCACTCTATGTGATATAGAACTTGATGCGCTTTTCAGTTTTTCACACCAAGTATGACGCCATCCTGCATCGGAATCATACAATAAATAATCTAATCTGAATGACGCTTCTAGTTTTATTTATTTTATTTTAGGTTATTTTTATAATGTTTTGTATTAGTGGAAGAGCATCTACATTTACTTTGTTGAGTGTCGTGCATGTTAGTTCAGGTCAAACTGCAAAATTTTGAAATCATGTGAAAATTTATGTAACTGTAAGCAGTTTATAGTATTTCAGATGAGATTATGATTTAAAAAGTAAATTATTTGATCATATTTTACTATTAAAACTATTTCCCCCCCATTTTTTACCTACAGTTTTGTTTAATATTTGCAGATCATCATGCGCCAAGAATGTCAGATAGCAGCGGCGAGGAACTGATGCGTTTGTCGATAAACGGTCAGAGGGCAGACGACTTCCAAAGGTCAACATCGAGGACCGAGAGACTCACGTCGATTGAGGAAAACCAAGGGGAAAATACAGCAAAATTGTAGTTCAAGATATTTAGATGTTAAATACTTTAAATAGTACGCAATGGAAGATGTTCCATTGGGTATTATTATTCTCTATCGTTCCCAGGTATCTGATTGGCTCAAATTAGTCCACATGATCAAGCATTCAACATCTTATAAACCTGGTGTTTCTATTCTAAGCTTCTAAAAAAGCCCAGAAACCTGGTGTTTCTGAAATTGGAAACATTCTTTTATATGGCAACAATAGTGATAACACCACAAACGTCAATATTAACTTGATGTTTCTAAAAATAGTTACCTCAGCTGCTAATTGTAATGTCATAATGCCTATGGCATAAAAATCTTTATATGAGAAATTATTAAGTATTAGAAACATGTATTTTTAAGACATTTATAATTCAACGATATAAAAATAATAATACAAATATAGCCTTTTGATTCGGTACAATCCCTAGATGTATAAGCCTTAGAGAAAGCAGATCGACCTCGCATTTCGTACTCGGATACGTTTTCTCTTAGGTCTAAATATTTAAGGGTTGACCTCAACAAAAGGCTATATTTGTAAAAAGCAGCAAATAGTCCGCATATATAGAGTTAATAAGTGTGATGTGAACAGAACATGATTAAACCGATGTACGAGTGAATATCTATGACAGATGAGTGACCACTGCGTATATGTAGTAATGTCATTATAATTCGTGAAAGTGTGTTTTAACTACGAATACAGTCAAAATATGAGCACAATACAATCAGTATTATACGATATTTAATAATTTTTGAAATTACAATGCTCCTAGAGCCATAGTTTCATACAGAGTCAAGGCGTGGACTGTACTGTAGCAATTGTACTTGTACTTGTGTTGCCACTAGTTAAAACTAGCAGAACTCGAGAAATAAAAGCCAAACAAATTAAAAAATAGATAAATATTTTGTAACCCTTCTGCTTGATTTTTGCTAAGCTTCATCTTTCATTTTATTATCTTCACATGACATAGGTAGATTTTAGTTGAATGACCAAGTCATAGTCATACATATATTTTGTTTAAATCGGTACATATGTATCAGTATTAAACTTTATTTCAAATTGTCTTTTGTTATGTTTTCAATTCCTTTCTTTTTAATATTTTCAATGAAGAAAAAAATGACGAACAGTTTTTGCTGAAACGTCTGTTTATAGCTTTTATTCATTTACCTTAAAAATTGTGATTGCCATTGAAGTTTATCGTCAACAAAGCTGAACAAAGATTTAATTAAACGTCATGTACACTGCAGATTCACAAAGTACAGAGAACAGATAATGAAAAAAAAAAATCGATCACGTTCCCAACTAATTGTTAGACCATTGTTTATAAATCATTTTGACAACGGATTACTCCGTTTACCTGATGGGTACAGAGGGCTTACGGTGGGGATGATTGCTTCTCCTAGGCACCTGATCCCATCTCCAGTCTATCTGGGGGTCTGTGATTTTCCTTGTTCACGATCTGTATTCTTAACTAGGTTTATGAGACTCATCACTGTTCTTTATCTTCACCTTTACATGATTGGTACAGAGGGCTTACGGTGGGGATGATTGCTTGTCCTAGGTACCTGATCCCATCTCTCTCCAGTCTATCCGGGGGTCTGTGTTTTTCCTTGTTCACGATCTGTATTCTTTACTAGGTTTATGAGACTCATCACTGTTCTTTACCATCACCTTTACATGATTGGTACATGTTGTATACAAGAAAATAAGATTGGAGAAAAGGAAGACGTTAAATGTGCATAAAATAATTGCAAAAGACAATGAAATATGCATATTGTTAGGAATGAAAATTGTTCTCATACTATTAAGATTTAATAAGTAACATACAAGACATTATCAAAAAGTTCAGGGACTGATGCGATAAAATTAATACTATGAAGTCTGTGCTTACAAAATTTATAAGGAACATAAAACAACAAAAGTTTAAGAAGTGTTGAAAATAATTTGTTAAATTATTATAAAATGAAAAAGACATTATATGGTCACCTGACGCTGTCGCCGTTGAGTTTCATGGCGTCCGACAACGTCATTTTTTCTCAATACCCGCTCCCTCTACCTCATACACTTATCTTGAATGGATTACCGGGAGTAAAGTAAGGACTTAAGCCCGTCTTGTTTATGTGACTTTACAATGTCATGAACATCTGCTTTTAGTGCATATAATATTGTAAATGGATCTATATTTAGGGAAAGATCCTCACTTGATTATGCCAGAATACTTAGCTTGTTGGAGTTCAATTTCTACTACACATGATCAACGTCACTTTTCGACGTGACTGACGTTTGACACCCTGACTACAAATCGGCATTAACTGCATCTCTCACCTCTCTTAATCTTTGTTGGCATGTAAAGGCAAGTACTCTGGATGTATTTTATTTCTCTGTAGCCCGTTAAACGTTTCCTAACTCTATATCAGTTTTTCCGGGGGGGGGGGGGCAAAACTTTAAAGAATGTTGGAAAAAGAAATCCCTCCCCATTTAGGACGTCATTTTTAATCCCTTATTTGCTGGACACTCCATTCAAAATTTACAATAAAATTTCACAGAACGTACAGAATGAGGTAAAAATTGCAAATATTACGGAACAAACGTGTCATAATACATAACTGAATTAATGGGATTTTTGGATGACAAATACTCATATCAAAAGCGTTTTTCTCAGTTACACTCAGGTAGGAAAAAAATCATGTTCGAGGTTGCGCCACCTGGACACACCATTGATTACAAAAAAATGAACAATTTATTAAAAAATAAAACTTATGATTTATGGTTTATTCTGTTGAAAGAAAATATGATACTTACTAAATGTGTCAAAATTCATTGATGTACCTAAAGCGGTTTTAAATTTCTGATAACTCCTCATACTTTGCACAAGTCATCAAATTAATAGTACAACCATCAAACACAACACAAGAAATGTTTATGTAGATAATATACACTTTTTAAAAAAATCCGATGACTGAAGTTCTATTGGAATAGAACTCTTCCTTAGGCTGTACTTATATTTTATTTCAAATAACAATCAGTAAATGACACAAGCTGCAGAATTTGCTAATAGTAGATATAACAAAATGTGCGCATGCTGAGCCGTTATGACCAGGCAGCGTGAAACTACGATGGCCGACAGCGGCCGCCACTTTCTGATTAGGAATATTGTCATTTTGTACAGCGTTTTTGTCAATTTTCGTTGACATATTACAACTAAACTGGTAATGCTATATGTAAATATACACTTTTTACACTGACAATTTACACCAGCGAAAAACATTAAAATTCTTTCGTGTGATATGAAATTAAGATACATAAAACAGGAGGCTTGAAAGAGATAAGGAGCATTTTAATGATTTTCACCCTCAATTAGTCTGAGATATCGTAACTCAATTAATCCTAGATTAGACGTAAAACGTCATTCTGTCACCTTGTTGCATCATTAAAACGATATTCTTGGGATTGTAATTAAAAAGGCGAATAAAAGTAATACGTTTGTTGTAATGGATATACATGAATATAATGGATATATCTCGATCCTCAGATTGTACGAGACAACTCGATTCTACTTATTATGTAGAGGTAGAAAAACAGGATTTAGTAGCTCTACAATCCAATCAAAAGTTTATGGAATGTATCAAAAACAAAACTTTAGATACGGAAATATACCCGTTTTTAAGCAAGACTAAAATGAAATGTGGGAGTCTATATTTGCTCTCTAAATACATAAAATTAATAACTAAATGCTTGAAAACTTTTAAAGGCCAACGCAACCTCTCAAGATTTCCACATGGTCGGCCAATTATTTTTCAATGTGGCACGGGAATGAAAATATAGGTACATGTAACTAATGTGATCATTTCCTCGTGCGCATTGTTTAAAAAACAAAATTCATACATCAAAGACACGTCCGATTATGAACAAAATCAAATTTCTGATAGACCTGGAAAATTTCATCCTGGTTACCTATGATGTGACCAGCAGGTACACCAACATGGAATTTTATGAATTAATTACTACAATCTGTCGAGAAAGCATATCTAGAAGACAATACTAATCTGTAATCACCTCGACCTTGCTGTTCTGCTAGAACCTTAAGCTTATCACCTTCAAGTAACCTGTTTTATGTTGTATCTTCATTTCATATCACTAGAAAGAATTTTAATGATTTTCTCCAGTGTAAATTGTCAGTGTAAAAACTGTATATGGACATATAGCATTACCAGTTTAGTTGTAATTTGTCAACGAAAATTGACAAAAAAGCTGTACAAAATGACAATATTCAGAATCAAAAGTGGCGGCCGCTGTCGGCCATCGTATGAAACTGCTGCTTTTCAAAATGCTTTTTAAAGCATTCTCTCTTTCTCTTTAACGTAGCTTATCCAAGGAACAAACTTCCTTCATTTATTGCATATCTATGCTCTCGATGGACAAAGTAAACCGACATTTGCATGTTACAATCGTAAACTGATAAAGTTCAGCATATTTAGTCCCAATTGCAGAGTCGTTATTCCGTAACGTATTGATGACTAATATTTATCCCGTTCCATCCCTCGGTGTTTAATAGTCATAAACTAATTACGCTGTAGAAGGACCATCAATTAATTGGCGTTGGTAACTTTAATGACGGATCGGGAAGATCGGTAGAGCAATTCAGCACTTGTATAATCCATATTTCTCGTTTATATGAATTAAGTACTAGATAGAGTAAAAGTGAAGTGTGACGATATTCTATTTCAAAAAAGAATCACGCCATATGTTGCAATTCTAATTGGGTGTCGTATTGTATGGTCAAGAAGAGAAGCTAATAATTATAGCTAGAGCTGTGTACTTGCCTCAGTCTTGTCATAATCATGCCATTATAAAGAAGGAAAAAAAGTATTAACCATTGCTTCAACGTTTGATTCATTATCAAGTCGGGCACAAATGAAAATTACACTGTTTACATATACTAACAAACATAGCTAAACATTTTAATACCAAAATACCTATGATTTTATTAAAACAGCTTGTTCGAGTAAACAGATAAGGATAATTGTATTCACACCATTTGAGAAATTTTTATCACCTTCTGTTGGTGACTTGATTATCTTGGATATCATTCTGAACAAAGATTCAGTTTTTCAACAGGACGTCCCGAATTCAGTTGTATCTACACGATACTGTTTCGTTATGTCTTTCAAAAATGTCATTAATTCCTATTTTAATTGCAATAGGTATGTATAAATACATGCATATACACCATCTTTTCTCTGTTCCTGGCAATTTCCACTTTTAAAGCTCTGCAGGGGGTAATATAAGATAGCAAGTAATCAAAATTGTAAATTTTATCTAAATAACATGTAATAATCAATAACTTTTTGATTAATAATTAGTTATTTTGTTATATGATTCAAACATTATGATAAATAAAGGAAAGAATGTCTTTATCTGCGATAAAGAAACAATATATAGTTATAGGATCCGAGGGCAATGGCTGTTTTGTTTGACCCAAGAACGGATCCAGATCTGTTATCTGAGGCCACAGATAACCGATCCGTTTTTGGTCCAGAAATGTCCGGTCTTTATCTGTTACTTTATGCGTCTTCATTATTCCAGGTTTGTTAAGTACCTTTTGGCTATTAATGACGTTTTTCAATGTTTTTCCTCCTAGCAACCTGATCCCTCTAGTGTGTTTCATAAAACCGCGTCCCCCCCCTTTTTCACGATTCGTTTTCTTTACTGAATTCATTTACATTATCTTCCCCTATTTTACAATTTTGTAGATACATTATATATGTCCTTGTTACAAAGATGGAAGAGCCATGGAACAGTTGACTTTCCACTTTTTTGGAATAACAGATGGCTTTTAAAAGACTGGGTGTAGTTAACTTGTTTAGAATTTCAGACAACGGTTTTATGATTTTCATAAAAAAATAAAGGAGATTGTGAAAATATTCTGTCGGTATGCCTACATATATATGCCTTCCTTTGATAAATATTTAAGAATTAAGGACAGTCATATTACGACATATTGAACTCATTGGTAATTGTTTATTTTTAGGAACTTAATGTATATATTATTTTTGCAACAATATTTCTACAAACTTTCTATGGGTTAAATAAATTTAATTGTTTACTAAACAATCATTTGCATGGAGTATGTTCACCAATATTCGACTTGAGGACAATGAGAATTTCAAACGTTAAGTTGGTTAGTGTTCTTGTTTCCTTTCTGTAAGGTTGTATTTATTGTATGACAGAAAATAACTACATGTAAATAATACCGAAGTTGACAAGTATTTCCTGTAAATTATGACTAATTTTGCTATCTGACCTTCCCCTTTCCTCATAAATACAGAATTTAGAGTATGATTCATTAAATGTGCATAACAATATTTAAACTGCTGTAGTGAGTTCATAGTAATTTGTAAGAACATTTGTATTCAAATGTATATGCAGTCAATGATCATCAGTTAGTATCTTGGTTCCGATTATTATTCAAAATCTCATATCGACTAAAATGCAAACAGTAATGAATTCATGCATAAACAACTATTTTTGCCATTCTTTTCCCGCTTGAAGTTAGCATTTAGAGATCTGTATGTTAGAGTAAAACGGTAGGAGAAACGGATGTAGTCGAAACATGACGCTTAAACCCCCTTAATTAAGTCCGAAAAATCATACTTGTTTGAAATTTTGGCCCTGACACTTAGAATTACACAATACAGTTTACACCAATTACATAGTCTAAACTAAAATGATGGTGTAAAAACAGTTATTTGAAATAAGACCATTTCTGTATCTCAGTTCTTAGAAAATATAAAAAAAGCGAGATTAATAATAGTTAGACATAAAGCGATTCTACCGACTTCACAGTGTGGTGTAATTAAGATGTGCATCTGCTCGACAAATATTAATTTATAACGCATCATCTTCAAACCTCACACATATCTAGATATCAGAGTTTTTCATCAGTACCAGTTGTGAGAGGTTTTGGAATCCCAATCCTGGAATATTTAGGAAACTTGCAGACAGCACACCCATAAGATATTCCATTACATTTATTCATTCATTCCTAGATATTCATCACGCATTTCTTAATGCAGGTTACTGCGATGTTTAAGAAACATCATGTAATTAGTGAACAGCACAGCCAAGACTGAATTCTAATCAGACACAAAACATGAAATGGACATCAATACCCCCTCCCCCGCTTACTAAGTATGGTCTGTCTTTTGACTTTCTTTTGGTTTGTCTGTCTCGATCCGCCCCATGTGTATGTCTTTAGTGATCCGCCCCTTGTGTGTGTATGTATGTAATCATAAACTTTAGACCACTCCCTGGCTTATTTGGGGTATCCACATCAAACTTACTCAAGCATCGTGTATCTGTGGAATTAAATGCATATTTTGATTGTTTCCCCGGGGGCATATAAGTCCAGCATAAACAAACAATGCAGGGTAGGCTAGTTTAAGCCGGATCTTAGCGCTTTTTGTAAATTGACGTCCTAAACTTCTTTCTGTTTGATAGAGTTAAGGTTTACTTTTTTATATAGTTTCTTTTTACAGATTATAGGCATCCTACTGGGGTCCTGTGGGGTTGTTTTTATCTATAACTTTCAGAAATTTCCTTGAAGTTGTTCTTGTATACAGCTTTCGGGAAACTCGTTTTCTGGCATGAAAAACTAAAAAAAAATATGTCATAGAATTTTAGAAAAACAGGTTGTACACGCTTTATTTTTGCTAAAACACACATTTATCATGAAATTGTCCTAACAAGTCAGTCTAATTTCTTCATTTCTCGAAAGGCAAGATTTGTATTACATGTACTTAGAGGCACTCAGTTTTGTAGGCGTATTTCGTCGGGTTTTTGAATAGTGCCTGTAATCCTGTGATCTATGCGTGGCGGATCCCTAAATTTCGACAAGGCTACAAGGATATCTTCAGCAAGACCAAGTACATCGTTACTATCGGTATGTACATACATGAAAGTCTTTTCTAGTCTAATACTTATAAACTGTGTATGCTCACACATTCAACATGAAGCCTTTTGCTGAAATGACTTTAAGCTGATTGTTTTTATTTATTCAAAGACTGGTTGTTTAAGGCAAACAGAATTATTTTATGGATTAATTTGAAACGCCATTTCAATTTTGAATATGGACAAATGACTACATTGGTATTGTTACACTTAGTATCCTTTTCTTAATCTACATGTTTGCTTGCTGAATCGTCTGTTTATGTTTCAATATACTTTGAACTGTCCTATTTATTTTGAATATTGAAATATTTAAATATGACCTTCTTACACTGCGGCTCTTTGACGTAAAACCAATGCATTATGATTGGTCTTTTCATGTTGATTGCCCGGAAGTTTTTAGCTGACGGTGGCCGTATAGTCAAACGCGCAGTCTCTGTCAGCGTAATTGAAAGCGAGGCTGGTCGACGGATGTCCACCCAAAGAACATCCATAAGTGACATCCGAATTCCCTCCAGCTGTCGAACATCTCTGACTGAGTTTGGTAAAAATAGATCAGTATTGGTCAGTCAACTCTGGGTCAATTATGATGAAATATTACTTATATCATAGAAATATACAGTATAAATGAAATACTCCTAAGAAACTTACTTGTATCATGTACACTTAATTCCTTATTTATAAGTGCTTTGCGTTCTAAGGTCCCAGTTATCCCTTTTGAAAAGCAAGCAAACAAAAATTAAGAAGTCGAAAGGTAACCTGTAATATTCCTGCTTTCATTAGAGAAAACCATTCCAGTATTTCCTGAAAAGTACTGACTACAAAAATATTATTTTTAAAATCCCAAAACAATGAGTATTAAAAGAAGCCACTAATCGAAATCCTTTCCAATTATTGATGTAATTTATTTGCTTTTTATACGCATGTACTTGGTGGATAACTTGTTAAACAAAAAAGGCAAAGTTGATTGTAAAACATGCACACATCAACAATTGTATATGTGACATAAAACCCACGTTAGTGCAATAACGTAAAATAATAAAACACGTCAGTGCAGTATTCTAGTACTGACATTTTTAAATATATGTACTATACTCATTTAGATTTTTATTTTATTTAATATTTTTTTTTAAAAAAAGCATCAAATTGTGAATTTTTAGGCAAACACTATGTTTTGACGAGGAATATTATTCCACCGTATGTGTGATATATAACCATGATAACCATTTATAATCATTATCATAAACATCTCAATCTTCCAGTATGCCCCCCTTAAAAAAATTCAAAATGTCTGTCTGTGCCTTATAAAATACTCAGTAAAAATATTTAAGCATAAGAAAAGCCCTAATAATTCATCTTAACTTCTCAGAGAGCTGACTCGATCCAGGTTAATCTATAATGTTGAGTTTTTGCTTTAGAGTTATTAGTTCCCACCGATTTTATTTGTTTGCATTCGAATCATGTTAATCTGAGTTCGTTTAATATACCTTTTTGCACCTTAATGAAGTTCGGAAACGTGCAAATCTTTAGATGTTTTTCACATGCATCAATTTGGAGTTTATTACTGTTAGTTTTAGTCTTTTTAGTGTCGTTAAACATAGCATGCATGTGTGAGTGAATATTCATTACCCATTATTTACCTTATCTTTTCACAAGAGGGTAAAGTATATTCTTGAACAGCTACTTCATTTATTTGAATTTGACCTCCATCAGAATTTTTACCCTCTTATTTTTTCCTCTTAATTTTTCATCCATTTTTTTCTCATCCCTTATCCATTTTTTATTATGATAAATATAATTTTGAGAACTTTTGTTGTTATTATATTTTATCGTGGACACGCTGAAAAAAAAATGAAAAAAATAAGCCCTGGAACTGAGTAATTACTCGCCATAAAGTATGCATTTTACGATGAGTGCGACCAGCTTAAATCATTCAATTACAGCCCAATTTTTCATGCCTCTGATTTCTTTTTAGATTGATTATTATTATTCAGTGACTAGGCTGATAAGAGACTCGTAGGCCTCTACGCTCACCTAAATAAACTTCCTCTGCTACTTCGACGATTTTGTTTCCTTTTTATTTTCATAAGAAAAATTTGACCCCGATATTTTAGCCGAATAGCTGCAAGGTCTTCGACTATCAAATTTGAATCCACACTACATTGGGAATGCGTATTATCTATTTGCTTATCCCCGACCAAATCCTAGGGTCCATAATTAAAAAAAAGCTTGAAAACATTTAACCTTTGAATTTCTACTTTAGCCACACCATAGCCCCCGAGGCGATGATTCAATCAAAGTTAAATCTGCACCACTTAAGAAAGCTTGCCTATTGATATGACATCGTGGCCAAGTTGTTTATGTAAGAAGTTTCCCCATAATTACTTTGAAACATTACAAGATATTTTCCCATATGGTCCTATGAAAAACTTGGATCCCTCTTCTTCAATCACCATAACTCGGACGCTATGATTTGAAGAAATTTGTATCTGCACTACCTGATGATGCATAACAATGTATTTCATAAAGACGGCTGTTCTTGAGAAGAAGGTTATTAAAGATGTTTCCCTATATACAATGTATTCAGTGGTTCTAGAAAAAACGTTTAAAATTTGAAAAGTTTACAGAATGACATCTTCGCTAGCCAAGGGTTTCTGATACGCTACTCTCCTCATAAACCCTTGGCATACGGTGCTGACAAAAGACGGGATTGTTTTCGTCACGTGATCACGATTCTTACCAGGTACGCACAGATTGCGTTATCGACAGGAATAAAAAAGCGTATTTAAAAAAATAATGTTTTTTAAAGAATAATTAACAAGAAGGTATTGAGTTATGTTAATTTGTTATTCAAACATATTAAAATGCAAATCTACATCTTCAGTATTGATTCTTAATCACATATTTTGTACGTAGCTTAAGATATTGAATGACACCATATAGCTATTAATAGAATGGCATGTTATCTTACGGATCATTGTTTACTTGCTTTTTTCATTCCCGATATTAAAGAGTCAAGATATATCCCGAACGCAAATATCGTCATTTACAAAAAACAATTGCTGATTGGTCGAACGATGTCGATCAACTCCAATCACAACTTGAGAAAAAAATCCCAACTTTTTTCAACACCGTATGCCAAGGGCTTATGAGGAGAGTAGCGTATCAGAAACCCTTGGCTAGCGAAGATGACAGAATGACGGATAGACAGAAAGACAGACCCCGGATGAATGATATTAAAAGCTCATTTGAGATAGAGGAGCTCAGGTGAGCTAAAAAGATGATTTCTGACAGTAAAACTCTTTGTTATCATTGATTGGAATTTTTAATGAGGGAATGGAATGCGTCGAATATAATTTCGAAAGGAAGTTTTTAGAGGAAAAATATGTTCAACGAATAGTTTATTGAAATAGAGACATTTGTCTTAATTTAGGTAAAGTGTAAAAAAAATAATTGACACTCTAGGAGTTGGATTGGTTCCAGAAACCTTCTGTTGTGTAGCTTATAGTTGTCTTCTACATAATAAATAGCTAAAAAGAAAAAAAAGAGAGAATAAACGATTATATGAGAGTGGTATCATTTGTAAAATAGACCATCATTAACTTTCATTTTTAAAGAATTGATAGTAAATTATTATATTAGTAACTCTTTTTACTAAGTAGTATAAACTGCTTGAAATGCATAAGGATTAAATACTAAGTCTTCATCCCATGATAAGGGCGGCCTCCCCTTGCAACGTTTAATTAACACTAAGCGGGAGATTTATAGTGTTCGTTTAAAACTAACAGTCATAGAATAAAGTTATTACATATAAAATAGGGTCAACACATTCTGGCTTAAAATAACGAAGATAAATACCAATGTTAAGGTTAATTGATGAATTTTGAAAGAAAATTAAGTCGTAAACACGAAATATCATTTTTTTTTAATCCCTTTCTTCTTTGAAGACCAGATTTTTTTTTCTGATAGATATTTTTTTTTAATGAAAAAGCCATGAAGGATATTTGATGAAAAATATTTTTAATTAATTTAAATATTTCCTTTTTTATATTATTTGCAAACAAAGTTGATAAATGTTTAATGTTGAAATCACTGTCATCTGTGAAAGTTTAGCATATACATGTATATGATACGATGATTATAAGACCCCCAAATTTTAAAATAATTGATACTTTGAATATCAAAATTGAATTTATATATCCGCCCTGTTCACACGGAGAATTTAATTCGAATATAACGTAAGTTATTGCAAATTAAACTTAAACCGCGTTCATACGGAGAATTATGCCCTTTTCACACGGAGAGTTTAATTCGCAGTTATTTAAAGCGAAGTGAAAAAGTGCGAATTAAACTAATACGAATTAAATTGCGTTCACACGACAGCTAATGCGAAGATAACTAATGCCAATTAGAATTTTATTTCTACAGTAAGGCTATTCAGTAAGGCTGTTATGACGTCATTTTCAAATCACATCACCGATCCATTTGACATTATGTTATAGTGTCTGTACACATTTCAGTGATTAACGTGATATTCCTTTGTATTTCACTAAAAAATAGCATAAGTACCTTTGTCTAACCACCGACATGTGGCATGTGACTTAATGTTGCCATTACGCATGCGTTAAAATTTAATTCGAATTAGCTTCGCTTAGCGTTCACACGGAGCTAATGAGAAGTAATTTGATGCGCAGTAAATTAAATCGAATTAAACTAATTAAACTAATTCGCATTAAATTACCCGTGTAAACGCTGTTCAAATTTAATTCGCAGTAACTAACGTTAAATTCGAATTACTCGCCATGTGAACAGGACATAAAATGCGAATTAATAAGGGTCGAATTAATTTACTGCGCATTAAATTAATTACTTCGCATTAGCTCCGTGTGAGCGCTAATCAAAGCTAATTCGAATTCAATTTTGACGCAATAGCAAAATTGAGTCACATAATGCTTGTCAGTGGTCAGGCAAAGGTTCTTATGCATTTTTAAAGTGAAATGCAAAGAAAAATTAAGTCAATCACTAAAAATGTGTACAGACATTATGATATCATGTCAAATGTAGATTTGCTCTGCATAATGTGACGTGATTTGCAAATGACGTCATAATAGCCTTTTTAAAAGTACTATCATTCTCACAGAGGGTGGGGGTGGGTGATTGATAAAATCTCAGCCTTGTTGAATGTAAAGAAAATTAAGAATATTTCTTATCTAAAATGCCCATTTAAAATTTTTATTTTTTTCGAAGGAATGCGACTGATTTATGGTTCAGAGACCTTGACAGACAAAGAGAAACCTAAAGTAGTTTTTCCCAAAAACCCAAAAGTTTCAAATGTTTTTATTCAGCATAACCGACCAACAATTTTTTGCAGTTCTGATGATGACGTAGATACATTATTTTTGACAGTAAGGCAGTGTGAAGTGCACTGTTGATCACTTATCTACCTTAGGTAGATAAGATCTAGTATGTCTATTTTTTCAGTCAGAGTTTTTTTTTTGTGAAGAAAGATAAGAAATTTGAGCAGAAACAGAAAATACTTATATT